GCACACATGCACACACGTTCAGTGCGATTTTCAAGCCTCTGGGTCTGGGACTTGAACCACAGTCAGTTATAACCACTATGCCATCTGGTGGCCCCAGCACTTGGTTTATAGCCCGACCACAGCCTGCCTCCCACACAGCCTAGTAGTAGAATTATTTAGGTTCCTGGAAATCTCTCTCTCTCTCTCTTTTTGGGGGGGTAGTTGCTAGAGGGTGCATGTGGCCCCCAGAGAGAGGGGAAGGAAAGAAGCAATCCCCAGCAAGGCCTGGTCACTCCACACTCCATCCTTTCTTCTTCATCCCAGCAGGATTTGGGGCACACCTGCACATGTGCCCAGTACATTTTTGTTTATTCAGTACTTTCTATAGGGTGTGTGTACTTGCCAGAGAGAGAGAGAGAGGGAAAGTGAGATATTACCCTCCGGGGGTTGGCCACATCACAGTCCCTTCCCACGTCTCCTCTTGGGGTTTTGGCCTCACATGCAAATGCATCTGGCATGTTTTTCAAGCTGCCGGATCTGGGACTTGAACTGTGGAATCAGCCATGTGGGATCTAGCTGCCTTAATCTTCATACCACCTGATGGCCCCCCCCCAGTGCATTTTCAAGCCATCAGGGATGGTATTCAAAGCAAGGTGGGCCGCGTGGGATCCAGCTACCCACGCACCGTGCTCACCCACCGTGCCACTGGGCTGGCCAGTCTCATTCATTTTCAGAGACCCTGGGAACTGACCTCATGAGTTCAGCCCTCTTGCATGCTTCAAAACATCTAAACGCAGAGACGCATGCCGAGTGCACCCTGGCCTTTCTCTGCTATGGCCCACCCGAGACTTTAGCAAGAACAGGTTCGTGTGCTTGAGGGAGCCTACCACCTGCCGGAGGGAACTGGGAACATTGCCCTCTTTGTGGTCACGTCGGGTCAGAGCAGGTCAAGTCTGAACATGCGTCCTGACGTCTGCGTCATGCATGACCTTACAGAGCAGGCTCACCTCAGGCTGCTGGAGCTGCCACTCAGGAGAACTGTTTCCACACGGTGTCCCTAGCAGAGCTGACTGGCACGAGTTGAGGCAGGGGGCACCAGGAATGACCCCAGGATGGCAAAGAAAAGCCTGTGATAAGAGAATTATGGGATGTGCTGATTCATACGTCGAGTCCAACCATCGAGGCCCACTCCAGCGTGACTCACCAGATGCCACACACTCTCAGCCACACGTACCCTCACCCCCTCACATGCACCCGTGTGCTACCTGCCCATGGCTATTGCCGAGTTCTGTCCTCCAGGCGCAGGGAGGCTGTGGTTTCAGTCGCAGTGCCCAGGAGGCCAGATCCCTACTTTCCATTCTTCGATTATCTGGTGGGTGAACCCTCTCCCCTCCCAGCATCTTACTTCTATAGCCCAGGAGTCTGGGGCACATCGTGTGTGTGTCTGTGTGTGTGTGACTGCGTCTGCGTGTGCGTGTGTGTTCCGGTTTTGGCCATATGGTGCACGCACTCACCAGGGAGAGGCGGAGAGGAGGAAGTGAGATATCACTCTTCGGGGGTGACAGCCGGGGGGGATGGCCAGGCCATAACCCCTTCTCCTTCACTCTCCTCTTGGGATTTTGGGCACACAAACACTTGCCTGGCATGATTTGCAAGCTGCCAGGTCCAGGATTTGAACTGCATCAACCATGTGGGAGTCCAGCACCTTATCCACCACGCCACCTGCTGGCCCCCTCTGTAAAACGTTTTGAAGTCCTCTTACATGTACAATAGGCAGGATATGGTAGTTTCATGCATTTTAGTGAGCTCATAAAATTATTTTGTATAATAAGTATTTGTTTCATTTTATTTATTATTATGATTTAATATGCATTTTATTTATTTAATTCCATTTGTTATTATTATTGTCATTTTAATTTGACCAGAGAGAGAGGGAAAGTGAGAAAGCAAGCTGCCAGGCTCGGAATTTAAACTGTGATCAGCCACGTGGGAGTCCAGCGCCTTAACCACCATACCACTAGCTGACCCGAAATGAATTAATTTTAACGCTATTTAGATAGCTGTGAAAACATCTTTAGGGGCCAGCTAGTGGTGTGGTGGTTAAGATGGCTAGATTCCATATGGCTGAGTAAGGGGTTTGAGTCCCAACCCAGTGGTTTGAAAAACAAGCCAGGAGCATGTGTGTGCAAGCCTAAACTCCCAAGACAATGGAATAGAGGATGCTGTAGCGTATCCATCCCCCTGGGGGTTCTTTCTCAATCCCCCAACCCTGTCTCTAGCAAGCACACACAAGTCCTGTAGCAAACTGAAAAAAAAAAAAAAGAAAAAAGAAAATGTGTTCAACTTATTGAGTGCTTTTACTCAAAAGAAACATTTATTTTGAGCACGCACGCACATGTGCCTGGTGTGAGTTTAACCAGCGGGTCTGGGACTCGAACCGAAGTCGCGACTACATGGAAGTCCAGCAACGTAGCCATTACACCAACTGCTGGTCCCTCAAAGGAAACATTTATTTAAATGAATCAAAGGATTTGAAGGGGCCAGGTGATGTTGCAGGGGGAAAGGCTGGTGGAGGTGCCTGTCTGTCTGTCTCTCTCCCACGGGAGCAATAAATAAATATACTTACAAACGACGAAAGATAAAATTGTTGAAAGGGTTGCACAGTGCTGCAGCCATGACAGCTCTGCCAGCCTGACCCACACGGAAGATTCCTGGTTCCTGTCCAGACACCTCCTGAACACACGGGGCTGACTGAGGCTGGGGGTGGATGGCAGCGTGAAGACCCTGTTGGGATTGCATGTCTTTCACTCTTGCTCATGGAAGTAAGTTTATTTCTTAATAAAATTTAAAAACGGGAGGCAGTGGGCCAGCAGGTGGTGTGGTGGGGAAGGGCTGGATTCCCCCGTGGCCGACTGTGGTTTGGACCTGACAGTTTATCCTCTCACTTTCTCTCTCGTAAGAGTGCATGCCCTGTAGCAAATAATAAATAAAATGAAATAAATAATGCTTAAAACTGAACCAGATGGAGTAATGGTTACATTGTTGGACTCCCACCGCAGTTCGCAGTTCGAGTCCCAGACCCAGTGGCTTAAACTAACGCGGGGCACGCGTGCGCGCTTGTGTGTGTGTGTGTGTGTGTGCGTGTACGTG